GCCACCATGCCCAGCTAATGTTTTGTATTTTTAGTAGAGGCGGGGTTTCACCATGTTGACCAGGATGGTCTCGATCTCTTGACCTCGTGATCCACCCGCCTCGGCCTCCCAAAGTGCTGGGATTACAGGCTTGAGCTACCGCGCCCGGCCCTATTATTCTTATATCCTGTGTAAAATGGAGACAGAGAGAAGGGAGGAAATAAGGGTGCAGCTGGGAGATCACGATGGGGAACCATGTCTCATCTGGAATGGCTTTATGTGCTCCAAAGTGAGGTATAATGAAAGTTTCACATAAACAGGTAGGTATGGTGGCTCATGCCTGTAATCCCAGCACTTTGGGAGGCCGAGGCAGGCGGATCACAAGGTCAGGAGCTCGAGACCAGCTTGGCCAACATGGTGAAACCCCGTCTCTACTAAAATACAAAAAATCAGCTGGGCGTGGTGGCGGGCGCCTGTAATCCCAGCTACCTGGGAGGCTGAGGCAGGAGAATCGCTTGAAACAGGAAGGCGGAGGTTGCAGTGAGCCAAGACTGTGCCACTGAACTCCAATCTGGGCGAAAGAGTGAATGAAACTCTGTCTCAAAAACAAAAACAAGAAAAACCTCAGAGCTTGGCCCCTAAGCCTCTCTTGAAGGTGGTGTGTTATCCAGGTCTCCAGGATAGGGGACTCCTCTGTGGTTCCCATATTGAGACACATCAATGATAAAGGTCAGCCATCAGAAGGGTTTTCTGGGAGGCAGCCTCTAGAAAGGAGGAAGGCAGAGGGAAGATGGGGTAGAGCTCCCACTTTCACTGCCCCCTCCTCAGGCTCTCTGGTATGTCTTGGAACCCATGAAGACACAGGGTGCTCAGGCTCCTGGGGCAGCAGCTGGGAGCAGTGCCACCTTATTAAATGCAGAGCCCCCCGTGAAGGGGGAAGCCACAGTGCCTCCAGGTGCCCCCTGTCCCAGTTCCTTTAATTGCTGGGCAGAGGCTCCAAAGAGGCACCCAATTCACAACAGATTAAGCAATGTGAAAGGAACTTAATTAGCCTCTTGTTTAATTTCCTCTTTTTGATGATGTTTAAACTAGCTCCAAAACTCCAGGTCTATTCCTAGCCCATGCAGGCAATGGAAAATCCTCCCCCACCTAAGCAACCGTCTTCCCACCCCAACAGCTCCTCTGACGGCCTTGCTCGCCTCCGGATATTGGCTCCTCGGGGGGCATCTCTGCTTTATGGGCCCGGGAGGTAAATATTGACAAAGTGTACACAGGTCCAAGTCAGAGATGAATGCTCTTGGTGGGGAGGGGGAGGAGGAGGGTGCAGCTGGATGGAGAAGGGAGGGCTGGGCAGAGCAGGCGGCCTGGAGCTCCTCTTGGAATGGAAAGACAGCAATGTTTTGGTGAGAACCTGGGCCCTGACACCCTAGAACGCAAAGCCAGATGGCTTTGAAACTTTAGCAGGAGGGACAGAGGTTAAGACTGTAGGTTCCCAAAAGTGGGTTAGGGAGGGGACAGGGGACACAATGGTTAAAGATGTGAGGAAGGGGCCCAGCTCTCAGGAACAGCCACATCAGACAAATGTTTGTGCCCCACGTTCTGGGGCTGAAGATGTGTATGTGTGGTGGGCAGAGGTTGGTAACGTGGTGGCAGAAGGGACAGCACTGCTGGGAAGAAAGCAGCAGTGGACTTCACACCCACTCTGAGCTGTGTCTCCAGGTTTCTGTGTTCTCTTCTGACCAGCATCTCTCACTGGACCTGTGGAGGATTCTGGGAGAACCTGCATTCCCCTTTTTTGGTGGTCTCTGCATGCTATCTGATATCGCCACCCCACCCTCACCTGCCTTCCTTCCCCACCTAAAGGTTCTACCTTCACAGCTCTGAGCTGCTTCCAGCTGACCTGGCAGGCAGCTGCTGAGCCCTGTGTCTGTGTGGGTGAAACCTGAAGCCCTGATATTTTTAGGCAGAGTAGCCAAGGGAGAAAAGTGGTGGACTAGAACTAAGAAGGCTGGTGAGGTGGCTCAAGCCTGTAATCCCAGTTCTTTTAGAGGCCGAGGCAGGCAGATCACCTGAGATCGGGAGTTCAAGACCAGCCTGACCAACATGGAGAAACACCATCTCTATTAAAAATGCAAATATTATAGGCTGCGCTCGGTGGCTCATGCCTGTAATCCCAGCACTTTGGGAGGCCTAGGCGGACGGATCATGAATTCAGGAGTTCGAAACCAGCCTGATCAACCTGGTGAAACCCCATCTCAAAAAAAAACAAAAAACAAAAAAAACCTGGGTGCGGTGGCTCACACCTGTAATCCCAGCACTTTGGGTGGCCGAAGTGACAGGATCATGAGGTAACGAGTTGAAGAGCAGCCTGGCCAACATAATGAAACCCCATTTCTACTAAAGATACAGAAAATTAGCTGAGCGTGGTGGCGCATGCCTGTAATCCCAGCTACTTGGGAGGCTGAGGCAGGAGAGTTGCTTAAACTTGGGAGGCAGAGGTTGCAGTGAGCTGAGATTGTGCCATTGCACTCCAGTGTGGGCAACAAAAGCAAAACTCAATCTCAAAAAATAAAAAAGCCGGCTCCTTCCTGTACTGGCAAGCTTTGTGCGCCTAGGTTTCCCTGCACATAAAATGAGAACAATTCCCCATTCTCAGGATCCCGGTAATGACTGAGAAAGCACCTTGTAAAGGTTTGATGCTGGAGAATGAGAGTTACAGAAGGCGAGGGTGCTGGCTGCTCCCCCAGCCTGCTCCCCACATGATTTCAATTCCTCTTTCTAGCTGAGGGCCTGAGCCCCATTCTCCTAATCCAACCCCATGGGGATGTGAACTTGTACCTGCATTTATACACAACCCTAGACTCTCCCCTCCTCCCCTCCCCCCAAAGCCCCAAAGTTAAGTACCAACCGGGAACAGGAAGTAAAACTAACTAAAACCAAGAACTGAAACTAGCTCATCTCTCACTGCCTCTCAAAGAGGCGAAGTAAAAGAGCAGCTCCTGTGAGGGCAACCCCAGGGCCCGACGCCATGGAGATGAACAAGGGCAGATGGGGGCTGGATCTGACAATGAATGAGGCTGGGGACCAGGGCAACAGGTGGAGGCGATGGCTGAGCATGGCATACAAATACGATGGACACACATTTCCTGAAAGCGGAATTCCCAACATCGGAACCTGTGTGCCCTCTTTGTTTTTATCCTTGTACTGATACATTAAAAAACGAAAAAAAGATTTTCAGTGGTTACTTTTGTTAGTGCCCCCTCTCTTCAGTGAGGCAGACGCTGTCCTTTCGGTGAGAGAAAAAGGCCCCTTTCGGGAACAGTCACTGCCCGGCTCTCTCCTTTCATCCTCCTCAGAACTGGCAGACATAACGGGAAACAGTACCTTGTGAAGTTCCAGGTTTTTAATTTTCCCTGATTCTTTTTTTTAAACAACCAAATTGGCAGAAAAAAGAAAACACTGGGGCTGGTCGGCATTTGGGGGCAGGGGTTCCACTGAAAAATCCCCCAAATTCACGCTGAGGTTTCAGGTCATGGTGGCTGAGGTGGAAGATGAGGTCAGGGCTCCTGGAAATGTCCCAACCCACCCTAGAACTTGTTTCCAAATGGCTGGGGAAGAGGTCAGTATAGGTCCCCCCGTTACTGCAGATGAAGGCAGAGGTCACTGTCTCCCCCACCCCTCAACTTCTTCAGAGATGTGGAGATAGGAGGCTTCGATCTCTAATTGCCTACGATCTCTTAGAAATGTAAAACACGTGCAGTTGACTTTGGTACAAAAAAGAAAACAAAACAACATCAGAACATTCTGGTCCC